TTCCTCACTTTGTATGATGTAGATGTACTGTTATTTAAAGCACAGATTATCTAGTTAATGTTTCACTAATTATCCTGAAGGTACAACACAAATATTGTGATCAGCCACCAAAGTTTCCAGTACTGAAAATGCCAGGAGTCTCCAAACTAAATTACGAGTTCTTGATACCTTCATTTCTGGAAGCAAAAATACATTAAGCTTTAGCAGAGTAGTAGAGATTATTCAACATACCCCATTAAACTATTTAACAGTGAAGGAGCTTTTCTACGCCAATGAAAAAGAGAAAGAAGCCAGTACAGTGGGGAAGGAAATGAGTAAATGGGGATGGGGAATCTTGTATGCCTGGAAGCGTACAAGTGAAAGACAAAAACACATGATCTCCCCCCTTTTGGCAGGGGCATTATTTTTTGTTGGATGTAAAATGACAGGCTAGGACTGAGAGCAGGAGGAAATGGGGAACATGGTCAGAAAGGCCAGAGAAGGATACTTGGAGTGGGAGATTCAGACAGGATAGGCAAAGAGCAGAAGGATGGAAAGGGGCATGTGAGGGCAGAGAAATTAAGCTGGGAAATGGGTTCTAGCCCAAGGATGAGGCAAGTCTGAGAAATGATCATTTCAGAGGGAACAGAGAAGAAACCATAATGTTAGGAAAAACAAGCAAAAGAGTCTGTGTTCAGTGGGGGCAGATCCTTTGCACAACTCAGGCTGGAACCAGGATCCCAAGCCTCTGCTGCTTCTCCATCAGTAAATACTGGTTAATATCTTTAAGTCATTGAACACTGTAGTGATAAAGAGCCCATACAGAAATGAAGAACTCTGTCTCCATACCAAGGACTGAATAATGCATGGTAGTAAAGGCCTGCAGCTCTAACTTGAATAGAGGGAAAGCAAATGACTGAGCACATACTTGTTAGTAGCATTCATTAACAGCAAGCAGTATTCATCTCTTGCACCTTTGAAAGAGCCTGTATCACTGCATCTGGGTTCATCTTTGAATGAGCCCAGATCTGATAGGCAAGGACTATGTAATAATGTACTTAAAGGCCAGGGCAGAATTTACACAGATAAAGAGGCTTATTTAAGTCTGTACAGATAATGCCATTTGCTGCATTTCTTAGGAGAGTGGCTCACAATCCATTAGAGTAACCAGATCCAGTGCCAAAATTTCTAACAGCTCTTTATTTTTCAGCCAAGGAAAGATATCAAGGCCAAACCCCCTCTCCCCATTACCTAGGTGAACGTTTTAAAAGTTGTCTATAATTCACTGTGCACCTTCAACTACTAGTCAGTAGTTCAGTTATGAACACTTATGTGTAATATTTGCTCAGGTCCAAGACTTCCAGCTGAAATTCTTCAGTTCAAAGTTGGCCACCTGCCTTCCCTTCAAAGAAACCACCTCCAAGAATTTTACCATATGAAGGTAACTCAATCCAGTCTTTTTTTTTTTTTTTGAGTCCCAGCTTTTTGCCCATAGTTCTCAGAACAGGTTTAAGTAATAATAAATGTCATTACAAGTTAGGAAACCTATGTCCAGCCCATTGAATCACACCGCCTCCCCAAACCACACTGAAATTAGAACTGCTCGGGAAATGTCCTTTTAAATTTCTGTAGGAGTCATTATAAAAAGCAAACAGGGAGCATGGTTTTATCTTATTTACTCCTTCCAAAGTTGTGCAAGGTATTTATACTCCTGCAAACAATTGCTGCAACTCACATGAAATTCATTGAAAGTATTACCTTGGGCAAAACTTGGTACCAGTGCACATTTATACTTCTGATGGGAAAGGATACAGATGGGAATTGGTACCTACTAAGAAAAGGTACCACTGTCTTGCTCCAGAAGTTGTCTTAAGTCTTTCAGTAGGTGTAGCTGGAAATGAACCAAGTAATGCACCTACATACACCCCTACTCCAAACAAAATACCCGAACTTCTTCCACCTTTGTTGTTACTGTGTCCATTTAGCCTAAAGAAAGCAACTTTTCACATAAGGATTACTGTCAGCCACGCACAGTAGAGAAGATAACAGACTTTCTACTACTAACACTGAAGAGATCTCTGTTTATGCCAACAAGGTGTTACATGACATACTGCCAAGATGAAAATGGGTAAACCCTGATCCAACGGAAAATGGGCTGTCTTCAAAAGGAGGGTCTATTCAAAAGGACAAGTTGACATCTATTAGACACTGCTCGAGCACTACCAAAGACTGGGAAACTATGCAAAAATTATACCTACTCTAATATTTGAGCTATTCTTCACAATATCTATGCCTGAAGTTTTAAGGACAGTGTGAATTTAAGCTTTCTGTCATGCAAAATGAATACACTCAGAAATGACATGACTTATTTATGTACCTGCAGGGTATTTCTTGGAAATTACATAGCAACTTATGCCAGCGATGGGAACATTACTAATGTAACACCATGTTATCTCCTTGTAACAATGTAAATGCCTCAGATCACCACAGTATTTGATAACATCACAGAGATAAATGTTTCAGCCATGCATAATGCCAAGAATGGAGGATGGATGTAATAGCAAGGCAATTTGCATTCCTGCAAATGTACCCAAGTTCAAAAAAATACAGTAACTGACATTAAAAAATACAGCAAAAGGAATTTAAAGACACATTGAGATGCAGCGTGTGTTTCTGTGGGAACAAAATCTGATTATGCAATAATGAAACAAACCTAAACTTCACTCTCTAGTCTACAAAAACTGTCCAATGATAAAGAACTAAGGTTTGACTTCCTATCCAAACTGAATTGTTCCGAAGTTATTAAGCACAGACAAATTGAGCTTCAGGCAGAACAAGTTTGATGTGGACACATACCAGTTGTTACAACTGCTCTCTTGGCATCTCTCTGTAGACTGCAGTAGCTGTTTTGGCATTGCTCTCTGCCCATAACCATACCCTGGTGCAGACAATGGAACAGCAACTCCTAGACTAGCCAGGTACCAAAGCTTGCTCCTGCCTTCCCCCATCATCTTCACTGTCTGGCACCTGGACCATCCCCAACACATACATCTCAGTGCACTCTATACCAGGTAGTCATTCCTTCCATCATACCTAAAACTGTTGTGTGTTTATTATGTGATCTCTGCAACAGACTTGTTTAATTCGATGAACAGTTCACCAGTAGTAGAAAAGCTTGTCCCAAGTGTTCTGGTGTCCTCAACATAAAAAGGACATGGATCTGTTGGAACAAGTCCAGAGAAGGGCCACGAGGATGATCAGGGGACTGGAGCACCTCCCATATGAAGATAGGCTGAGAAAGTTGGGGCTGTTCAGCCTGGAGAAGGCTGCGTGGAGACCTCACAGCAGCCTTCCAGTATCTGAAGGGGGCATAGAGGGATGATGGGGAGGGACTCTTCATTAGGGATTGTAGTGACAGGACAAGGGGTAATGGGTTCAAACTTAAACAGGGAAGTTTAGACTGGATATAAGGAGGAAATTCTTTCCTGTTAGGGTGGTGAGGCACTGGAATGGGTTGCCCAGTGAGATTGTGAATGCTCCATCCCTGGCAGTGTTCAAGACCAGGCTGGATGAGGCCTTGGGTGATATGATTTAGTGCGAGGTGTCCCTGCCCATGGCAGGGGGGTTGGAACTTGATGATCTTAAGGTCCTTTCCAGCCCTAACTATTCCACGATTCTATGATTCTGTAAGTGCCTGAACCCTGGACATTTTAAGGCTTACCTTCAAAAGCCGCTAAATCCCACCAATACACACACATTTTTGATAAAAATTAGGGAAACAAGCTACAGTGTTAAATATTAAATGTAAAGAAGGATGATTGTATGAAGCACTGAAGTACCTTGCTAGCTAACATGTCAACACAGAAAGCATTCTAATATAGGAAAGAGGTATAGATTGAAAATAAAAGAGAAACAAAGACAGTTATGTGTTCTGGGAAAAAGTACATTGGCATCCTGAAGCAAATACAAACCCAAGTTCAACCAGCCAGAGTCATATGAATGTTATGTTCCTCTAGCAGGCATTAAAAGTTGTGTGTCTGTGGGGTGTGGAAGCTGTCTGCATGGTTAACTTCCACTCAGAGAAAATTTTCCCACACTGTTTCAAGCTCTAATTCGACATGAGATTTCCATTCATGACATTAAACATTTCTTCAGATGTTTCAGGAAGATATTAATGTCTTCATAAAAAGAATGCAAACAGTGAATGCAGACACAGAAGAAACAAGTTTGTTCACAAGTCTGTAGAAGTTGGGCAATTTTAGGCTAAGAAAGAAAGAGGTTATTTTGGGACTAAAAGATACATGCCACTAGCTAGATCTAAACCAACTTTACTTTTCAACCCTATGAAGAAACCAGTGTCTGAAAAAGTATTATAAAATCAAAATGTGAGAGAATAATGATGGGAAAGATTTGCAACATTCATCCAGGCCTACAAGAAAGTCCTTTTATTTTCAGACAAAGGTCTCAGTCTGGAGAGGTGTTCTGCATGGGCAGGCTCCATATCGGCACTGTGATTCATCCATGCAATACGGTTTGAAGGATCAAAGAATTCAGAGAATTCTCATGTCAGCCTACAGGCATCACCTGAAAAGTTCCCTACCTTTCAGGCAGCGCAAACTAAAGTTCTCAGAGTGCATTCTAAAACTCCAAATCCCTGTGACTTTCACTGGCAGCCTAAGCCATTCCTGGCAAGCCTGTGTCCTTCATAAGCCTCTGTGTTAGCTTGCTGAGACTGTGCTGAGGATATCCATGAGTTGGACCAAGAAGCTGGATTTATCTGGAAGGTTGAGTTTTTTTCAGTTGGATCAGGTGTGCAGTCTTGTTCCTGTCCTGCTGACATATCACAGGGGTGGCACAGGATAGAGAAAAACAGGCAAGAGAAACAAGCATCTGCTTACACTGACTTAAGCACCTCTACAACATATAGAACCTAAGTGCAGCATCTCATTTTCACTCTATTTGCTACTGGCCTCCAGACTCCTCTTGCTCAACAACCCCACAATAAGGAAGAAAACACTCACCACCAGCAAGAGCTTCCTCTCTTGCATTGTCATCATCACTAGGCTGAAGAATATTCCAGGATGTCAAAGTAAGTGATGAAATGTCTTCAGCTGATGATAACTTCAGCATGTCCATGTGATTGCTGTGAGGCTTGTAACGTGGGATGAAACACTCCTTGCCTTGCTTAAAAATGTCCTTAATGATTTCTTCTGTCTGGATTTCATCTGGCATGCTTAGGAAGATTGCAATTCTTTTGGATTCTTGGTACTTGGGATGGCCAATCGCCTACATGGGAAATTGGGGCAATCTGTTTATGAAAGGTTTACAAAAAGAACCCTTACTTTAATTAAACACACAATGGGAGCAAAATATACACTGAAAAGGGCAGAGATACAAACTACCATGCATCATAAAAAGAAGAAATTGACTTTGTTTCCTACTCCAACACTTTCACCATCAGCAAAATGAAAATAGGTTAAATATTTGCACCTAGTGAACAGAACATCATAACACAGGTTTTGGCCAGCAAAAAGCAATTTAGGAGGCAACCTCCTGAACTTTTTAATGTTTGTGCCATACAGTGCAGGCATCCTCAAATGCCCAACATCACTGGAGCAAGATACAGCAGGTCAGAGCTGCCAGCTTCTGCAGGACACAAGGTTTTTGCATTCCTTATCTTCACCCATTTTACACGCATCTCTCATCCAGGCCCAGGTAGAATGAAAAGCGCATCAATGATAATAACTCAAAAGAAAATTAGCATCAGAGCAGATGACTGCAGAGCACAAAATCTTCCAAGGCCGGTCCCTCTTTCCTTCTTTTAACCTGAAACGCCTTCCCTACAGCAAGTTTAAATATATGACTTCAAACATCACCAGCTTCTAATGGGGGATATTATTACTGCACATTTTTCAGAGCTTGAAGGAAAAATGGCCTTACGATTTTTTGATTTTCATGAGGTTCTCTGTGCTGGGCTCATAAAAGAGTGAATACGGGAAGGAAAACAAAAACCACTTATATGGTGAAAAAGTGTTAGTGCATCTATACCTCATTATGCCTCTGCCCCATTTGTTTGAATTCCACATTAAAATTTGAGAGAATGTTTCTAAATGTTTGTCTTCTCGTTCTCTAGTACCTCACACAGTTTGTTCTTACATCTGGTCAAAACAAATACAAATGTGTCCTTTCTCATTTAAATGTGATTTATTTTTACTCTACACACTTGCAAAAATCTGTTCAAAACATCGGACAACGGAGAAACTGTGCTTATCTGTGGGAGAGAGCACCAAATCCTCTGCTCTGTGTTTGTGTAACTGCAGGGTAACTTGTTCTTCTGAGCTTTAGCCTTTGCTCTGGCCCTGGCCTGAGAGATAAATAATTGCCCCTATCCAAGTTGAGATATGCTTATCACTCCTTTTTTCCCTTTCTTTCCAGCACAGCAGTGAAAAGCCCAGGCAAACCATTCAGAAAATGGATATATTTTTGTAAGGCAAAAAAAGACAACCCAAATCCTACTGCAGACCGAATTACGGTAATGTGTTGCTGCTTGGCCATAGAAATGTCTTCACAATTCAAACCCGTACTTTACTTGCTTTTGTAATTTGCCCAACATTACACATGGATTTTTCCACATAAGTGATTAAGCTTTTAAACAACAGAATTTCCGTGGTAGCTTTTGTTTGAAAGAAGGACTATTTAGTCAAATTGCAGACACAAGACTGTGCCTGTGATTCATGTTGTTGAGGGCCTCCAGAGCTGAATCTTCTCATGGTTTTGGAGGAGAGAAACTGAGACATGAAACTCTCCTCTTTCAAAGTGGTGCTGTGTGCTGTGGGCCCCATAAAGGTCCAATCTGCTCCGACACGTCCAGCAACACATTGACTATGCCGTATAGAAGAATAATGAGGTTGAAGATGTCAAACCACACAGGAAGACACAATTTCGGATGTTTTCAGAACTGTGAAGATGAAGCCGCTATGACTCGGAGCATTTTCTGAGAAGGGTGAAAGATTTTCCGCTCTGAGCAAATATTATCTGCCCTTTGCTTACCACCTGATGGCTATTTGTGCAGAATCAGAGCATGCAAACAGCATGACTTTAATCATCAACATTAGAAAAGAAAAATCATCCAGAAACTAATTAAGTACCAGTGGCTGTGTCAGCCCATGAAACTGTTTCACTTTGAATTTAAAGATCACTTTGAGATGAGGTTTTACAACTAAAAACACTGTTCAGGTGTTATAAAATAACCTACTCGCTTTTATTAGCTGCAAGCAGTGATATATGTTATAAAGCTACATTTTCAGCCTTACAGCATTCCAAATACTATTTTAGCACTTCCAATAAATTCTCATGTCTGCAGTACTACCCTCCTATAGAAGAGGCTGACTCTACTTTCTGCCCTTTGCACACCACCCCTCGGTCTCAAGCAAGCTCAGGACTTTCAATTTGTGTCAGATTATTAAAATGGCAAGATAACACCAATATATATGTCGTATTTTCCAGTGCCTTCTTTTAAGCAAAACAAAAGCTGTCTTTTAGTGTGCTCTCACAAGCAGAAACGTGTGCTGTTGCTGAGTTTAGACAAAGGCTAAGGGCTCCTAAAACCTGGCACTACATGGGGAGGTGCTTATGAAGTTGGCAGAGGACTGCAGTTTTGAAGAAGATGCATGCCAGTATTTTCTCAAAAAATTGAGAGATTTTAGTCTAGGATGTCTAATTACTAAAATGCAGAAACATGATAGGACGTTACATATCTGTATTTAAAAAAAAAGCATTCCCAATAAAAAAGAAAGGGTTGCATGAACTCCTGTTAAGCTTCCTATGACCTGAAGTTTCTGTGCAGCCACATCCCAGTCATTAAGTGGCTACGCATCAGTATTAAGTGAAGTCTATAAAATGATTTGCAATCCTCTGGCAGGAAAATAACAAGACAAATGTAGATCATCTAGAAACACTCGCTGGTGCTGCAAAATGTAAAAATGAGGACTGTGCTCTAGGACATGCAGTGACTGCAGAACAACACTTTACTGTGTTTATTAAAATGATAAAATACATCTATATAAAAACTTTGTGATCCAAAAGCAAACAGGGCTTTTCAAAACAACATGCCAACACCACGCTGTGCTACATTTCCAATTAGGTAAACCCTGCTTGGTACCTTTTAAAGTATAAGAATTACGTTAGAAATAAAACTGCATGGAAGAAATACCACGGGAAGATACAGAACGGGAACATCAGCCAGGTAAACAAGATACAGCTGTTTTAAATGGTTCTAAGTATTCATCTGTATAGCCAGGAGCTGCCCACAGAGCTACGTATCCACCAGGAACGCACAAGAACCCCGCTGCTGGGGGTTTATGGAAGAACTCGCCTCCTGCTTTACAAACCCGGTGTGGCTGTCACCAAAGCCACCAGCCCCGGTCCCCGGCGCTCATTAGGAGCGGTGAAGGGAGCAGGGCCGGGGCCGAGGCGGTGCTCCCCGCCCCGCACAGGCCCGGGAGCGCTCGAGGGAGCCCTGAATCACCGCCTCGGTCCCTAGAGCCACCTGGAAAGTCCCCGCCGGGCTTCCCCGCGCTGCGCCGGGGCCGGGCCCGGCTCCTCGGCGCTCCCCCCGCCGCCCCCGGGCCGCTCTTCCTGGAAGCCGGGCGCGCTCCGCTCGCACCCACCTCGCGAGCGAGCAGGCGGGACTGGCGCTGCTTCTCCGCCGCGCCCAGCGCCCGCAGCCGCTGCCGCAGCTCCCCGCGCAGCGCCCGCTTTGCGGCCCGCAGCGCCGCCGCCATCTCGCCGCCCTCCACCGCCCGCTCCATGCGCCGAGGGAGCCCTGCCTGAGCGCCGGCCTCGCCCCCCCGGGAGCGGCCCGCTGCCTGGGCCGGGTGTCAGCAGGAGCAGGGTCGCTGCTGGGAGGCCTGAGCGGACCCAATGTCCCTTTGGCTCTTGAGGGTGTTGCAGGCCACCTAGGCCCTGCCAGCCTCCTGGCGAGGCCTTTCGTCATTGTTTTGCCTGATGAAGGTTACGAAGCCTCTTCCCCCTTCGGAATTTTGCTGTAAAAAGGGAAATACGTGTTGGTGAGATATTTTACCACCATCTACCAAACGGTTTCGTTTCCCTATGGTACTGGCCTGGCCATGAGGGAGGTGGTGTGAAAAGTGCTGTGCCTGTGGAGCTGTGTCCAGAGGGGAGACACTGGGTGCTGATTTTGGGGATGTTTAATGATCCATTTTAAGTGCAGAAAGGGATGTTTCTAGAGCAGCAGTTGCTTTCATGAAACTATTCTTTATGGCATTTGATGACATCTGAATTTAGCTCCTGTGAGCATTAATGACATCAGCTGACCCGCTCTGTGGCTCTTTGACCTTACCTTCTGCTCTAGAAGCAGCACTGTGTTCTGCAGTGTGTTGCCTGACCACTGCAAGGATCACTTAAGCAGTGGTGCCCCAGGACCTGGGGCATTGCCCAGTGCCTGGTATAGATAACTTAATGACAGTTAACAAATATCTGTACTATTTTATAAGACTTAGATAATAGCACTGTTATTTTCAGACATTCTGTTGTGTTTAGAATCTGGGTAGTATTTCTTATTACTGCTTTTCCTGCCTTTAAATGCAGAGCAAATGGAGGTCTTGTTCTGATGAAGATAATCTGGAGCCCATCAGGCCATTTTGATTTAAATCGGGCTTCTCTGATTTAAACCCAGGCCTTACCATGAAGGCAAGTTCTAAAATGATTGCATCAACTGCATTTTGGAAAGGCTAGGTTAGCCTTTTATATTTAATTAACAAATTGTACTCCCCAGTATAAACTATACTAGTTTAGTGTAAAAGGATGTGAATGTGGTTATTAATGGACTGGTGTTAGCCACTACAGTGTGTGCTTACAGTAGTGCACAGAAAGGAACTGAGTGAGAATTGCTGTTCTTATTAGACTGCAAATAATTAGATAGATGTCAAAATATATTTTAAAATGTGATTCCTGACAGGAACCTCCATAGGTATTCTGGAAGGGGCATTTTCCTTTAGCTGCCCCTTGCCCTCAGGATGATGCCATCTTTTTTTCAACAGCAAGAAAATTCTCAGAAGTCCTGCTGAGTATCTTTCTTGTTTTCATTGGGGAGGGAGAAGGTGAGGGAAAAGGGAAGGAGAAAGGAGAGGGAGAAGGAAGAGGGAAAAGGGAAGGAAAAAGGAGAGGAAGAGGGATGGGGAAAGGGAGAGGGAAAGGAAAAGGAAGAGGGAGAGGGAAAGGGAGAGGGAGAGAGCAATACAGGTTCTGTCAAATGTTAGCATCTCTTTGTATTCTGTAGTTAAACTGTAAACAAAGTTGGACTATAGAATCACACAACAGCCCAGGTTTGAGGGGGTCTTAAAAGATCATCTGGTCCAACCTTTCATGGGAAAGGTAGCCTAGATTAAATTAATGTTTATTCACTCCCAGTTTGAAAGCCTCCAGTGATGGTGATGCTGCCACATTCCTGAGGAGGTTGTTCCATAAATGATTGTTCTTACTGTACAAAATTTCTTATGTCAAGATGCAAGGTGGAGAACCCATTGCCAGGAGGATGAATGATGGAGAATCTATTACAAGAAGGATGAATGATGAATAACCTATTACCAGAAAGAGGTTGCTTCATTCTCCCGGTACCATAAAACCTTGATTGTCTAGAGGATTTGTCTTAGAGAATAATGCTGTTGTGTGCCACAAGCAACCACTGCCTCAGTTTGGTTCATCTCCTAGCATGTCTACAAAAGGGTGTTTAGACCCAGCCTTAGTTCCCTCATGTAGGAGTCACTGCGGCTAAAGAAAACACTCCTAGGACAAATTCTTGAAGAACTATTTAACCTTTGAAAGCAAATGGAATTTGAGTCAAAACAGTAGTTGCTCCAGACTACAAAAGCCTGGAAGTCTTGCTCCTGAATTTGCTGTGTTGCAGCAAATCCCCAAACAAACAGTTGCTGTCATCAGAGCAGATCCAGTTCATTTATTTTGCTGCAAAATATCTGTTTCTTATACAAGCTCTGAGATAATACTTAAGTACTACCAAAAATTAACATCTTGACATGCTTGGACTTCAGGTCAAACCCAAATACTACTTGGATTATCTAGTAGCACTGTGATAGGTTTTCTAGGAGTCACCTTACTCAGGTAGATCTTTTCCCATCCTCCAATTTTTCTGGAAGAAATGAGACCAATCATAAGACTTTCAAATACATATTTTAATGTATTTTTCAAAAATATTAGTGTATTTACATAAGTCTCTCATTTAGAAATATCTTGTACTTGCCTATTTTAAAACACCTGGTTTAAAAAAGTTCAGCCAGATGATTACACAGATTTGAAAGAACGTTGACTGTAGATATGAGCAATTAAAAAACACAACAAACATACACCATTGCATTAACATTGAGTGCACATTTTTAAGTTACTGACTTCTACAAATTGTTCTTCCCATAAAAATTGCTTAGTCTGTGTCAGTAACTTGTACCCACTTTTACACTGGAATTTGCATTTCCTTTTTCCTCACAGAATCTAGCCCCCGCCCCCCCTGCCCCTTCACTTATACAAAGGTTGCAATAAAATGCATTACAGTAGTATTTCATTTACAAAGCAAATGACATTAAAACTTGTTTCTTAACCCATTGGATTGTACTTTAGTAAAACAATGTCCTTTCATGGAGGTGCAGCAGAGATTCCAAGAGCTGCCTGGATGTGGAAAATGATCACTCTTTCAAAGCAGTCCTGCCTGGGAAGGTTGAGTTGAATTGTTTCATGATGCTGTGTCAATTCCTCTTTGGAAGGATCTCATCCTCAAGTTTGGCAATTAGGATAGTATGTTAAACATTGTATTTATTCAAAATAAATACAAATAAGTTAAAAAAGTAGGACAGAAAATTATGTTCTTGTTGATACTGCTTGGAGGAAAGCTTAGCAATGAAGCTTGTGGCAATATCTAGCTCACACATGACAGGCAGGTCCATTTGTTTCAGTAGTATTCTCTGAGCAAGGTAAAAACAGCTATGAACATGGCTGTAATTTTGGAGAAAGACAGTCGTGATCTTCTTTCAAACTTCGTTAGGAAGCCATTTTCCTATGGAAAGAAACATGCAGAGTTAGGAATAGCTTAACAATAACATTAAGCTAGGAAAAACACCACTCTACTGGTACCAGGTGCACAGAGTGCAACACCATTCTGCATAGAGGAACAGGTTTTCAGAGCTCTACCTCCAAAAGATGAATAGGGCTTTAAAAACAGTAGCTGAAAATAGCTGCACCTTGCTGAATGTTTGATTTCCAAGTCAAGACTGTGCCCTGCCTGTGTAAATAGAAAATGAATGTGAACTGCATCATCTAGGCCCACATCTTCAAGGAAGATACAAGTACTATGTTTCTGATGTAGTAATATACTAGTAAGTATCTTCCTTTAACACTCCTCATTCTACTGTGATGAGACAGTAGGTTATTGTGGAAAGTTTCCAGCAGCTGATACTTCTCTTAAATAAAACTGACTCTATTTCAAAGAGCTGCAGAGAGAAGCCTTTACAGTAAATCTGATACATCAGGGGTCCACTATCACATTGTTGTTTTTTTTTTTTTACTGCTACCAGACAGGGAAGGGTCAAAACAAGCAAAAAGTAAAAAGGAAAAGCAAGACACTAGAAAATAATGAGGGGAAAAGTAATAACAGATAGGAATTGAAAGAGAAGTGGGTCGAGAGGGGGTGGAAAGAGAAAGTAACATTTACATATAGAGAAAGGAAAAAAGTACCAGGGAAATAACTGACAATGATGTCACTGATTCTCAGCTTCCCCTAACTTCAAATGAAAACAAAATATTGGCGTGATGAAACTCAGCAAAGCAAAAGGGACCTCCCCTCCACTGCCAGGAGGGAATTTCAGCAGCTTGGCAAAATAATCCACATATTGACAAATGCTCTCCTCAGCACTAGCTGTTGGTAGATGGAAGATGCGGGATTATCTCAGTCCAGACAGAAAAGATTTAACCTTGATTGCACTTACCTGTAAATTTGTGTAAGGAAAACTGATTTGGGGGATTAAATAATGGCTTTACAAAAGTACTGAGTTCACCTGTGAGGATCACACATATATTCTTCCCTTACCTTGCTGCACTAACCTTAGGGTACCACTTAAGTTTAGATTTAGTAATGGAAATTTGCATGCCATGCAGGCATTAACCTGCTTCGAGCAGGAGGCTGGATCAGATGATTTCCTAAGGTCCCTTTCAACCTGAGTTACCATATGATCCTGTGAGTCAAGGCTAACTAGGATTTTGCTGTTACAGGTACAGAAAGTGCCATTTTGAAAAGAAAGTTTCCTTTTAGCATTGTTCTGTTTAAAGCACAAGCAAAACTTTCACTGTATGTCTCAGGAAGACATTCCAGTCATCAAATGTTAAAACCACCAAATAAAACCTTAAAAATGGTTTTGATGGTGTCTGTAACAATAGTTTCAGTTAATGAAACAAAATCTCCTAATACAGATTTTGATGGAAAATGAGAAACCTACCCAGCCACCATTTGCATCTATCCATTCGGCTTTATTGTTTATTATGTACTCTGTGATGAAATAAGAAATCTGCTCCTTTTCCTCTCCAGTGAGCTGAACTCCATGCTCTTGAAGCTTCTTAGTGAGAAGACCTCCAAATGTAAATATGGTCATAATTCGTCCCCAGTTAGTATTTCCATCAGCAAATTTTTCTTCCATGACACCATTGAAAATTCTCTTGGCAACAGCTACAGAGCTGATGTCAATTCTGTCCAGGAACGGTCTGAGAGCCTCCTCGGTTTGATCTTGCAGTGAAGATGCAATGTTTCGCAAGACATGAGCAACTCTGGTTTGGGCTGGTCCAAGGTGGGACTCCTGAAGCACATATTGCAGATAATCTTGAGCTAAGTAATAAACGTAGTAGAAGTCAGCAGTTTCCATTTAGAAAGAAATGCAGAGAGCAGTGCACCAGTCTTGATCAGGGTCAGTAATGAGCATCCACAAGACATGCACACAGCTTTGTATCGTCTGGTTTTGATGGAGTTTTTATTTGACTTAACAGTAGCGTGGGTTGTGGAATATGTCACAGCGGAAATGAAAGAAAAAGTGTGTGCTCAAGGGGAGAAACATGTCTTCCTGAGAGATTTATTAGTTCTCTAAATAGATCGGCTTTTACCATATTCTTTAGCAGTATAAATTGGCATTTCCTAGGGGCTTCTACTATGTAACACTAGCAAAAATTTGGCATTTAGCTTACAAAATTCTGAGAATGGTGTATGTTAGCAAAGGTTTGCCATTTGGCTTGAAAAAACCTACTAAAAAGTGTATGCTGTAGGAGCATGCAGCCCCCCCCATCTTCTCTTACCCTAATCTCTTCATTGCCAGGGGTTAAAGCTGCAATCTGTATTGCAGTTTAACGAATTGTTTCTGGTTCACAACTTTTTGAAGATACCAGTAGATATTTCCAATAGCATGGAAGAACGGATAAACTTTCTTCAGTATTCAGGGAGCTTTACATAACTGCAAAAAGTGGTACAAATATGGATGGAATAAAGGGGAAAGCCAGCTTTATAGCATTATCTCCTGTTCCAGACTTTCCCACACTTTCTCAGTGAGTACTTTTCAAGATTTGGAATGGGTAGCTTCAAAGATTACTCCCCCACCCCCGGGAGTTCTGCTGTAAAAAACAGTCATGAAAGACAATGCTAATGCAGTCAGCTTGTCAGAACATGGGCTGGGAAATATGGGGCCAAGGTAGTCATGTGTGATACCATTTGAATCTTTCTTGTCAGGTAACAAGTATGATACCTACAACAACTGCTCCTCTATTACCATTTTCAAGCAGTTATTTTGGGGGGAAGGGGCAGGGGTATCTAGTCCACTTTTCCCTTACAGATTTCTCCTGAGGCATCCTGATGTTGCTAAAGGTTCAGGCTGCATCTGTAGAGGACCTCAACCCACAGCGAAGGGTTGCTTAGAGCAAGCTGATATGCTTGCTGATATGCAGTATAGTGTTAACCCTAGCTAGACCCCTTCCCCTCCCCACCCCATGCCCCAAAAGGGTATGCTGCTGCTCTAACATCACAGTTCTGCAGAAAACCCTAGAGCAGACCAGGGTAGTTTCCAGTTCCTTCTCAGGGTTTTTCAGTGCGTGGTGGGTGACTCAATGACACAGTAGTCTTCCATCCACAGTGGGGTTTGAAACCTCAAGCTGTGCATAGCACAGATACCAGTCACTTCAACCATGCTGGAAATTGCTTCCTTTGCTTTCTCTTGGAAGCAGAGAAAGAGGTTGCTTGGTGCTGTGTTCACCTTTGGGTTTAGGAGGGCAGTGTGAGCTGGAAAAACTCAGATGGTATCTTCAGGAGAGAATGCGATGCTAGGACTGGGAATGGGCTCATTCTTCCCAAGCTCGTTTTCAGAGTTCAGATGTGTCCTGTATCCAACACCTGCAGCTGCTGCTTTGGCAGAGCTGAGGCTGGCTTTGCCTTTGTTATGTTCAGTGATTTCAGCAAACTGCCAACGTTTTATGGGGAATGCAAATGAAAAAAGAAGGATGTGATAGTCTTTAACTCTTTCCAACTCAGCTAAATCTGGGCTGAAATTTCTAGGGCAGAGGGAAGGCATTGCTCCACCCAGACCACTTCCCTCCTGTCAAATGCCTGCTGCAGACAGCTGAGAAAGGTACCCGAGGAAAGAAATCACAAGCATCCTTTTTCTGTGCAGCACAGCCTGTGAAGTTACAGATCATGCCTGACTTAATAATTGATTAATGAAAAACTTTTGTGTTCTTTGTGAATGTAATAGTTGAATATGAACAGTGAACAGTACCTAAGGAGACAAGTTTTGCTTTTTTCACAATTAGCTGAGGTAGAGCACAGGCAGAAGCAGATATTTCTTCATTAGTGAAGCATTTTGGATTCTGAGAAGGGTGATGAAATAAGCCTGTGAATACATCACCATTACTGAAAGAAATCAGTGTTAATACCTTGTCAATTTTGGTGCAAATGCTGTCACTTACAGTGTCTTGATCTCTGTAAGGTGAAGCTCAGTGCTCAGCTCCCAGAAGGGGTGGCAGCTCTGAGCAGACATCTCTAGCAGCAAGCTGTGACACTGGTGACCAGAGTTCAGGATGTGGCTGTTGAAGTTGCCCCAGGTCTGACTCCTTCAATGTCAGACACATTTGCTTTTCAATAGCATGTAGTGGAGGGTGCAATTCCAAGTGTTGTATGCTGAGGTTAGAGGTGTATAAAGGTTGGAACAGATGATCTTTGGGATCCATTCCAATCTGGTATTTTATGATTCTGTGAGTAGCAGTGGCAGTTCATTTATCTAAATACGCACATAAAGACTTGGACCAGAGAGTGTAGCCCAGTCTTCCCAAGGTCTAATGGTCAACTCTGAGTACTGTAAGAAATGGCCTTTAGAATCTTTTCCCTGTATTGTGCCACTGTAACACTCTGATGCTCATTTTCTGTATTAGGGAGCACTTTCCTTTCTCTTACCAGAGTTTGTGTTTTGTAGCTGTAAGTGAATACCTTCAACATAATGAATCTCTACTTATCTTCCTACCTGTTCTGTCTCCCCAGTGCTGCATATACTGCAGTCTCATACACTGTGTTGCTTCTTCTCTGTTTTCTTCTTTCCTGCATACACTTTGTCTTTTATAAATGATAAGTGCTAATAAAATGTTTGAAATAGAAACCAGCTTGACATAGAAGCTCAAATGCAAACCCTCCCCAACTACCTGGCAATAGCAAGGGGCTTCCAATGCTTTAATTTAAATCTGTGCTCTGTGGATTTGATTGTGCATCATACCCTAACCTGAAAAAGCTTATTTTCCAGAACAGATGGGAACTCAGTTGACAGATCCTCATAAAATTGACTTGTGAGAGACAATGTCATCTCATCATGTTTGAGGCAAAACTAAGCCAGAATGACAAAAGCTTTGTTGAGCTATTGGTTCTGCCTTGCCAGAGTTGTTCCAGTTCAGGTGAATGTGGGCATTGTGAGCCTTGTCTGGAGGAGCAGTCTGAGGCCTTGAGGAAATTATCAGAGATTTTTTTCTGCGTCTTTTCCCTTTTTGATGTCCAAACCAGGATGATTTTTATGTGGTTTGGTTGGATTTCATGCAAAAGAATGGCGCAATTCACTTGTAGCTTCCCAGCTGTCCTGCACAGCCCTGATACAAGGCTTCTGGAGGCTTTGTTGACTTTTATTTACCCTCTGGTTTCCTATAAATCGGAATATGCAAGCTGGCTTTTCTGTGAGCTGGGATGGTTGGTTGGTACTGAATCCAGAGGCTTGGTTGCCTAGTGAAGTGCTGCCACCTAGTCGCAGCCGGCCTGGATGCACGCAGAGAAACCCGTTAGCTCCAATACAAATTCAAGTCTGTGCTTTGGGGTTCTGTAGCAGCAAAGAACTAAAATACAGCAGGATTGAGACTCGTTCCTGGTAATAATCTAAATTAGTACATGATACGTTGTTTCCCAGAGAATTCTGTCACCTGGGAAGCACCAGACTCCTGTCGAAAGGTTTCCAATGAAATGTTTTCCTTCTTGAAGAAAGGTTTCCTTCCTGTGAAGAAAGGTTTCTCCATAAGAAGTTTTATAAGCAGTTCATTCTAAATCACTTCAGTCTATCTCCTAATGTTTATAGGATGTAGGCTGAATAGCAGGATCCTGGATCTCAAATTCTGGCAACTGAAACAGACAATTAGAGCATCTAATATTCTGTGTGTCTCAGAGATGCACAGAAGACAAGCTCCAGGGATAGGAGGATGTAGCTGGTTTTGCATCATCTGGGCCAGTTGAGGTATTCTGGGCTAATAGGAGAGCAAAAGTGGTCTCCAATGTAAACAAAAGCAAATAGCTACTCCATCTTAGCACTGAGCTGGGGTGCAGTCCAGAATGAGGGCTGAGCAATAAGGCATAAGCAATTTTCTGCTCCTAGAAATACCACACAGCAATGTCTGGGAAGACGGATCATATGAAGATGCACACTCTATTGTCTCATCTCAAGCATGAGAAGAATTATCTGAGAGGCCATTCTGCTCCCTTTATGACTCCTCTGTAGCACTCCATTGACATAAGGGGAGCATAGAAAGGGCCCAGTCAGGCTGTGTTACTCAGGGTTCAGCTGCTGCCTTGTCACTTCCTCTGATAACTCATCGTAACTCAGAACCTGTCAGCTTCTGGATCCCAGCTCCTCTTATCATCATGAGTCAAGGGAGCAGCCAAACACACCGGCCCACAATGCATGTGCCATATGTCATCATATGCTTGTGTGTTCTACACATGTTCTACATTCTTATAAGCCTTTCCAAGTGTTTATCTGGGATCAGGAGAATTTGGACCAATAGTCATACCTGTGAGCAGTGAGCCACAGAAACGCAAGGCTCCCTGAACTTCCTGGGCAATGGAGCATGAACAAGTAAAGTCTTGGTAGCAAGATCTTCTTGCTAAGCAGAAACACTGTCTGCTGAAGCCAGTTTCATTGCTGAAAATACTTGTTCCCAGGAGGAAAAAAACAAAAAGGTCTTACTGGGACTATTCATGAAATAAGAAGTCAGGAGATGATGTCTCCATATGATAACCAAAACTATGTGTCTCCCTCACAGCCACAAGTCAAGGGTGGTCTTCACTGTTGGTTGATTCTGCTATGGCAGGCACAATGCTAACATGTACAAAGTCAGTTTTTACATTCATCTGCAGCTTTGGTTCAGGTCCGCATCTTCCAAAGGCATAATGCCATCAGGAAAGACAGGCATTTAGCATCAGCTGCACCAGTGTTTTAAAGCTACTTTAAAAGGTGGTGATATGTGGTGAGACAGTATTTCAGTAACATCTGAGCCTTACTTAGCATATAGAGAGTCCCACTGGATGTGAGTTTCAAAATATGCTCAAGATTCAGATAACAAGTTTCCACTGAGCATGAATGGA